AACCGACGCTGTAACTTATGCATTAAAACAAAAATGGAGATGGGCCGGGCACGTTGTGAGATGCACAGATAAAAGATGGTGAAAGAGAGATGGTAACATCGTCGAATAAAAGGCTTATTTATTTATTTATTTATTTATTATTTTTGTTTGTAGTTGAAGATTTGACCAAATAATCTTTGTTGAAATTTTGCAATTCGTTATGTGAAATAATAATAATTTAGTTTTGATAATTATTGCGCTGCCTTCATGTGCATAACCATCTGAATGTGTTGTGTGATATACATTATAATATGGAATTCTGAGATGAGAATAATTAGTGAAATGTGTTTCACTAATTAATAGTATGTCAATTTTGTTTATTGGTAAAAATAATATGATTTCATTTTTGTGAGAATGAAGACAATTTGCATTTCATAAAGCTATTCTCAGTAGTTGTCCCATTATTTTATTTTATTAATTAATGCTGAAAGCATGTTCAAAATCATTCAATTTTGTTGCATGAGTTGCTCGAACATTTTTTTCAAATCTGATAAGAATTGTGACAGTTGACCGTCCATGTTGGAATGATTGTTTACATTGGCGTATGACGCTTGCTGAAGTGTTTGTGCATAGCTCAAATGACCGGATGAGTATGCCGGTTTTTTATATTATGATTTTGACTTCTAGGTTTGGTCGGAATTGCGTTGATACGATTATTAACTGTTGTTTTCATTTTGTGATTTTTGATAATATGAGCATTCTCGGTAATTTGTGTTGTGCGGTCCTTGGCAAAAGTAACATATACCAGGCGCTTCTTTGGGTTTTTCACACAATTGTGTTGGATGGGGTCTCCACATCTAAGACATACAAATGGCCGGTTGCAGTATCGTTTTGAGTGACCATGCAATTGGCATTTTGCGCATTGGATAATGTTTGAATTTTTAAATGAAGTTTCAAAATGTATAACTTGTTTTAATAACCTGTTTATTTTGAAAATTGAAGCGTTATTTATGTTCGGTTCGAGAACCACGTAGAACATATTAAATGGGTGTTTTGTTTTAGGTTGCAAAACATTTAATATGTTACGCACTTTATGTATTACTTCTATTTCAATCGTTTTTTTTTAATTTCATTTTTATCTGTACTATGATGCATGTATTTTAAAACCCCTCGATACAATCTTTCTGACTTTATTTGATATGTGTGATATTCTGTGTTGCGTTCTTGCAAGTAATGAATAAATTTTCTGTAATTATCGGCACTATCATGCGAAGGGAGCATTTATAAAGTAAATTAAACTTCTATAAAACACTAAATTATTGAATTCACTTCACTGATAAAATATATAAATTGTAACGTTCACTAATATCGAAAATATATGATTATGTAATGGTTTAACTCACAACAGACGATGTGATCAGTTTGGCTGATGCCGATGAAATGAAATTAATCGGAGGATCAAATAAGGTAATTATTTCATTGCCGTCTATTTCAAAATACACATTATTAAAATGTGTATTTTTATTTTTTATATTCTTGTTCAGTTTCCTTCAATAGCAAATTTATTGCCTTGCAACTTGCCGAGTATTAGTCACAAACAGTAGCAATGTTTCAGATCTGTACTCATAACTCCGCCTTCAGAAAAGTAGAAAGCAACAGGTTGCATCCACCGTTCTTTGGCACCTTTGGTCATCAATACAAGCGCATGATCTGCAAATAGAACTTGCTTGTCATTTGCAAGTTCTTCGAAGCCTATTTTACTATTATTTTCTAGATCATATGATAAATCAGCAGATAAAGAAATTTCATCGAACATTAGTATATAATATGGTATAAAAAAATGGAACTATTTTTTTTCCCCAAAAGCAATTATTTTGTTAAAACAAGCAGAAAGTTCTTTGAATCATTCAAATCGGACGCTTAGTTCTCTCAAAAACTGCCTTTGTTTGCACATTTAGCCATGTATCTTCAAAATGATTTGGACCTGCCTTTGCCAAAATCTAATCACCTCTTCTCCCAATCATTACGAATTGAATGTTTTTTAGATCATTTAAATCAGATGTTCCGTTCTCTCAAAATCTCGATTTCTATTTTCTGCAATCTTTGCTCTGTATCTCCGTAACGGCTGGACCTGCCTTAGCCAAAAACTAATTAGCACATCTCCCTATCAATAGGAATCGAATGTTTTTTTTAACCATCCAAATCGGTTGATCCGTATGCTTGAAAACGTGGACGAAAAAATGCGGACATGCAAAACACACACACATATCAATTTATTCTGAGGTATGCCAAAATGTTCAGAAACCTTCAAAACGTGAAGATATGCAAAAAAAATATTTTCGATTATCTGCCCATTACTACAATTACCCTACGGGAAGTTAATAAACCTTAAAAAAGGTAACAATGTGCAAAGACCTAAGACCAAGTTACAATCCATTAACATTCGATATCCCTGATCCTACTGCACTCTTTGCAATTGACACTCCTCTTTCTTAAATAATTTTGTGTCTAATATCTTCCATTCATTCACATAATTCAATTTTATTATATTAATCACGGAATATAGCTTCATCTACGAGACAGTCTTTCATCGAATACGGATTACCTACAAAGCATGTAACAAGCAAAATATTTCATTTAAAGTAAATTTTTAACTACCTGTAGGGTAAGTTATAGCAATTGCAAAAAATCGAAAATGAAAATTTTTATATATCTTTACGTTTCAGAGGTTTCTGAACATTTTGGCATATCTTAGAAAAAACTAGTGGGGCGCATGGCATCGTACCTTAAGACAAATCGCTGGAACTTCCCGTACCAAAAATATTTCTTGAACGTGTTTGAAAAAATTATATTTTTGAGAAACTATAAATTTTTGAAAAAAAATATTTTTTTGGAAAAACGACTTTTTGAAAAAAAAAGTTTTATTTTTTCAGATCAGTTGTTCATCTTGTCAATACAAGTAAAATATTTTTTGAAATATTAAAATCGGACACTCCATTTTTTTAAAAAACGGAGTTACCGTTTGTGGCACTTTTTACCTCGTATCTTCGAAACGGCTAGACCTGCCTATGCTAAAAACTAATTAGCACATCTCCTTTTCAACAGCAATCGAATGTTTTTTGAATAATTGAAATCGGTTGAACCGTGTTCCCGAAAATTTGTATCCGCACACACACATACATCCATTTTTTCTAAAATATGCCAAAATGTTCAGAAACCTCTGATACGAAATGATATATAAAATTTTTTATTTAAGATTTTTTTGCGATTACTATAACTTACCCTACGGAAAGTTAATAATGTAATTTAAGTCATACTTCAAATATGACATGATCGGTCTGTCATTATAATTAGCATTTAGAAAAATATTCATTGGAGGAAGGAAGTAATTGCTGATTAATAAATTCTATAATATTCGTTCATACAGTGGATTATGTTAAACAACGCCTAAACAAATATTTTTTTCGCAACTTCACTCATCATGTAATTGCGTTTGAAGAACTTCATGTAATTAAAGTTAACATACATTCATTGACTAATGGTATTTTTTACTTTTTCGCTGGCGATATAATCTCATTCTTTGAACAGTTGTAATATCTGCCTTGCCTAAAAAATATTTTCCAATTTAATAACTTCAAAGATCATTCGATAAACTTACTAATCATTAATCTTATTAATCAATATTTTCAAGGAACAGGGTAAAATATTCTTCTGATTGCGTCATTTTTCATTAAATCAAGATTTGTACTACAATGCAACTTTAAAATGTTTATTTATCTATGCCGATTTCCTTGTCAAATACGGTACGCATACAAGGTTGATGCCGGTACCCATACAACGGCAGATTTCTATTTACATACACGACGACTAATCACAATCGACCCGTATAGAAATGATATAATCGAGAGTGAATAACGAATTATTGGCACTCGACTTTTATCTTATCTTATCTGCCGTAACGCACTTCCGTTGCATTATTACGGATTCACACTTTAGTCGCGTCTAAAGAAGTTTTACTTCAAAAATCATTTTTGGTACGGGAGGTTCTAGCAATTTGCCTTAAGGCACGATGCCATGCGCCCCACTAGTTGCTTTTTGTTTCAAACCTGGCATTTTCAATTTGAGTAGCAGCGTGCAATTTGAGGTTAGTTCTTCCAAATTTTTCTTCTTTGCAGCCATCAGTAAAATGCGCGTCGCATTTAAAATGTGCGCTGCTACAAGCGAAAGGAGTCACATTGTCTAACAATGGATTATTCACTTTCTGTATCCATATCGGAAACACCTACATTTAAATAGGCTCCTTGATATATACTTTTTGGCCTATATTGATAATATTATATATGATCAGTTAGATCGTTTCTAGCCAAAAAGCCGTGTACATAATACTTCTTCTGGTGTTTAAACACTGTGGCACAGAACACTTAGCCATTTTCAAAATATTTATAACACACTTAACGAAACATAATAATAACCATTCAAATTCACTACAAAAATGGAGATTAAACAATTGATAAGGTTCGGCAATTTTACAAATCTTCGTGTGTATTCGGTCGCGACCGTTTAGAAAATCGTATAATCAGTTTGATCTATGCATATATTAACAATGTACTAACGAACGGTTTGAAATTTGAATTTAAATTTGAAAACAATAAAACAGTGTAAACACAATTTGCTCTAGCTTAGTGTTTGACGGAGCTATTTTGTTTTCCGGATAAGGTTCATAACATGTCAGACTAAAATTATATATGGATACTTTTCATTTTTATTTCTTATGTGAACAAAGTTCAGCTTAAATAGGTGACTTTCACTTGTACTGCGTTTAGAAATTGTAGTTTAAAACTGATTAATCAATTTAAATGTAATTGTAGAACATGCTGTAAAGGAAAACGTATTATAACAGTTATAATTTATTGACAATTAAAAATTGATTGTTGAAATTAATTGCATGCAATCAATGCTTTTTTAATATGTGTCATAGTTAAATTTCAAATAATGAAGAATGAGGTCAAGTACATTTTTAGGGAGTACTCTGGAACGTCAGGTTCTCTTACGGGATCGTATGGCGCCGTAACATCCCCTGGGTCGCATAGGGTCGTTTACTGTGTACATGGGAAAGCGCAAGCGATATGTTGCGGAGAAATACCTCCAGAACCTCATTGTGTAGATAAATTTGGAGGTAATAAAAGATGTTATAATTTTTCAATATTAATTTGTTAATTTATTTCATTTGATTTAGAACCGGAACGTCACTGTCACTTCTCAAGAAAGGAAGGTATAAACGAAAAGGCTAGAAGGAAATTGATTGTAGCTAGTACGTTATGTGTTTTATTCATGATTGCTGAAGTCGTAGGTATGTTATAAACGTTTTATATGATCTAATATCCATTATATAAAATTCTACATATTGTTGTCTAATTTATCTAGCTTTCATTTCTTATCATTAGGTGGTTGTTTGTCAGGAAGTTTGGCAATAGCAACAGATGCTGCGCACCTTTTAACAGATTTTGCAAGCTTTATGATATCTTTGTTTTCACTATGGGTCGCATCAAGGCCACCCACCAGACAAATGTCCTTTGGTTGGTATAGGGCCGAAGTCATCGGAGCCGTGACTTCTGTTCTTATGATTTGGGTAGTAACAGGAATATTGGTATATATGGCCATACTCCGAATTGTGTACGAAGACTTTGAAATTGATGCAACAATTATGCTGGTAACTAGCGGATTGGGAGTTGGAGTAACCCTTGTAATGGGAGCTTCGCTTCACCAGCACGATCATTCCCACGGAGGAGGCGACAGCCACTCGCATGACCGAAACGATGATAAAGAAAATATAAATGTGCGAGCGGCTTTCATTCACGTCATTGGCGATTTTATTCAAAGTTTTGGTGTTTTTATAGCCGCTCTAGTAATCTATTACAAGCCATCCTGGAGTATTATAGATCCAATTTGTACGTTCTTGTTTTCTGTGCTTGTGCTCGGAACGACATTTTCGATTTTAAGAGATGCTTTACAAGTTCTTATGGAGGGAATGCCCAGAGGAGTCGACTTTTTAGAAGTTATGAACACTTTTCTGCGAATTGACGGAGTTGTGAGAGTGCACAATTTAAGAGTTTGGGCACTGAGTTTGGATAAAACGGCGCTTTCGGCACATTTGGCAATAAGTAAGAATTTTATAAGAATATTTTATTATAATTGATTGATATCTATAAATAATTCGATTATATTATGCAATTTTACACGCTAGATCGCTTCTTTGACTAGGGTTGGGTGTCAACGATTTTTTTAAATGAAAAGAATTGCTTGCTATTGTTATAAAAATGATTCATAAATAATATGAATAGTATGATAAAATTGCTCTTGGGTATTCATTCAATGGGTCTTGATTTGACCCATATCCAGTGCATACAAATAATTTAAAGCAAAACACAAAAAATACCAGCTATATGACAATAATTTTTTAATAAATAATAAATTAAAAAAAATAAAAATAAAATAAATTAAAAGATTAAAAAAGCTCTTTTCATTCGTTCGTTGAAACGAAACGTTGTAAGAATGCCCAAGAACAACTTCATTACATATATAGGGTGGTCCTTAACAAGGATCATGGACATTTTCCAATTTCTTTGCTCCCACGGGCGCAACTGCTTCAAAATCAATAAAAAATGATTCTCTAATAGTATTAGTTCTTTATATAAACATTTAGATAGAGCGCACAATAATTAACTTCCCGAAGGAGAAGTTTATGTTTTCATCAAAAAATCCGAATCGCTAATTTTATGTTTTCTCGACGTTTCAAGCCATTCTGAATCGAATGAGACCAAATTTGGAAAAAGTATGTGTGTGTGTGTGTGTGTGTGTGTGTGTGAACAGATTTTTTGCCGTAAATCGACGTTTTCTTCAAAACGGCTGGACCGATTTCAAAAATTTAAAAGCCATTTGATGTATCTCGATGAGGACTATCGTCTCTGAGTTTTGTGCAGCGATCGGCCGGGCCGTTTCTGTGTAAATTTCAGAAAAGTGAAAAATTTTTCGCCCACGTTTTAGCCCGCAATTCTGAATCGATTCTGAAAATTCAAAAACCATTCGATAGATATTGGTTGGGAATCGTGCTGATTAGTTTTTGGTAAAGATCGGCCGGGCCATTTTCTTGTAATAAAGTTTAAAAAAAAAAAAATTCGACGATTTTTATGATTTTTTTTTTGACGGTAGATACCACAGTCTTCTATATCATACTAAAATATTATGGCCCTACGACAACTGGTTCAGCTTTAAAAATTCGTCAAAGTTTGCAAAAATTGGTATCGTTTATTTGACATTTGTCAAAAATTAGACTTTTGATCGATGTTTTCTCAGAAGCACCTGAACCGATTTCTGAAATTTAAAAGACATTTGATGTATTTCGGTGAGGACTATCGTTTGTCAGTTTTGTGCGACGATCTGCCAAGCCGTTTCTTTATAATTTGAAAAAAAGTGTTAAATTTTCGTCGACATTTAAACTCATCCTACCAAACCGATTTTAAAATATCAAAAAATGTTCGAAAGATATTAGTTGGGAATGGTACTGATTAATTTTAGGTGAAAATCAACCGAGCCGTTTTCTTGTAATTAACTGTTGAAAAAAATATTTAAGCCGATTTTTATGGAATTTTTTTTAGCGATATATACCACGGTCTTATAGAACTTACTGAAATATTACGGCCTTACGACAAATAGTTTGATTTTAAAAATTCATCAAAGTTTGAGAAAATGAGTAGCTCTTTTGACATTTGTTAAAATTAAAATTAGACTATTTACTTGGTATAATGTAGAGTACTTGGTCTTGAACATAATAAACCATTAAAGTCCTGAAAACTGGTTCAATTATATAAAATTTGCTTTTAGAAAATACTCCGAGTCAAAGTGTTCGTTCGTTTTCAATTATGTGTAATAAATCCACTCGGAATACTTTTAATGACTCATAAATTAATTTATTTTTTATTGATTAAGTCGATTATTTAAATATATCGGGAAGTTCATGTAACTTGCCTCAAGGCTAAATACCAAACCAACTAGTTTTTATATATAATGAGTTTCATATATTTATTTCTTACATGTGACATTAAGTTGTGCGCCATCTGTCGCGTCACTCAAATATATTATATAAAATATAGAATATTTATAAACCACATTTTCTCACATAACCTCTAATTAAACCCATGTGGGCTGTTCTATAATATCTATTCATCATGGAATCAAGATTAATTTTGCAGCAAAATATTTATTTAATTGGTGATGTTGAGACTCAAATTATTATCTTGATTCCATGATGAATAGATACCATAGAACAGTCCACATGGATTTAATTAGAGGTTATGTGAGAAAATGTGGTTTATAAATATTCTTATGTATCATAATATTTGGGAGCAAAGAAATTCGAAAATGTCCTTGTTAAGGCATGCATGTATTTGAAAAATTTTGCAGGCTAATCGTCGAGTTAAAAAAAGGTAAAAATAGAAAAATTCTTTATTTTGTTAAACGTTTCGACACTTAATATGTGTCATATTAGAACATATGATTAACCTGAACCATACTTTCAACATTCTACCATCTTATATATTGAAAAGACTTGTGACCTTAGAAAAAGATAGTTGAGTCGTTACTTAAATCCCTTAATACTTCTTGTGTCAACAAACAGATTTCCTCTCCTCTTTTACATGGCAGTTACAAAGTCATTATAAATTTCATGAAAAGTAATTCTTTACGGTGTTAATAATCTTTGGTACGTTATATCTCTTACTGTGTTTTTCAATCTTCTTTTGTTTCTTACACCGCGCATCCGCGCACTCTACCGCACGTGCCGTGTAGCCTTGACTTGATTGTTTTACTATGCCTTCCAAGCGATGAACACGTAAACATTAGGAGGGCATTATGTGCTCTTTTAATTTTTTACCCGTAGGGTAGTTATAGTAATGGGCCGAAAATCGAAAATGAGAATTTTTGCAATTCTCGACGTTTTGAAGGTTTCTGAACATTTTGGCATACCTCAGAAAAAATGGACGCGCGTGTGTGTGTTTTGTATGTCCACATTTTTTTGTTTTGAATGGTTCGAAAACATCAGACTTTATTTTTATTTCGGACTAAAGTTCTAATATACTTTGAACAAATAATTTCTGCTTTGCAATTCGATTTATATAATTACTATAAATATTAGACAAAGTTACAATATTAATAATGATCTATTTGAAAACATTTAATGATACTCGATTATTTCGTTACGGTACCGGAAGTTCCAGCAATTTTCCTTAAAGCACGATGTCATGCACCCCACTAGTTATTAGTTATGTTGTACTTTTGCACAAGTTTAGTGTTTATTAATTTTATATTTTTTGTGTTTTTCCTGGTGTTGTATGTTTATAATTTTCTCCTTTTTATTAACTTCCCGAAGGAGAAGTTTATGTTTTATTTTTCATCAAAAAATCCGATTCGCTAATTTTATGTTTTCTCGACATTCTAAGCCATTCTGAATCGAATGAGACCAAATTTGGAAAAAGTATGTGTGTGTGTGTGAACAGATTTTTTACTGTAAATCGACGTTTTCTCAAAAACGGTTGGACCGATTTCAAAAATTTAAAAGCCATTCGATGTATCTCGATGAGGACTATTGTTTGTCAGTTTTGTGCGTCGATCGGCCAAGCCGTTTCTTTATAAATCGCAGAAAAGTGAAAAATTTTTCGTCTACGTTTTAGCCCGCAATTCTGAATCGATTTTGAAAATTCAAAAACCATTCGAAAGATATTTGTTGGGAATCGTGCTGATTAGTTTTTGGTAGAAATCGGCCGGGCTGTTTTTTTGGAATAAAGTTCAAAAAAAGAAAATTCGACGATTTTTATGATTAATTTTTTGACGGTAGATACCTTAGTCTTCTAGATCATACTGAAATATTACGGCCCTACGATAACTCGTTTAGCTTTGAAAATTCGTCAAAGTTTGCAAAAATTAGTATCGTTATTCTGACGTTTGTCAAAATTATAACTTTCATCGACGTTTGCTCAACAACGCCTGAACCGATTTCAGATATGTAAAAACCATTTGATGTATCTTGATGAGGATTATCGTTTCTCAGTTTTGTGCGACGATCGGCCGAGCCCTTTCCTTTTAATTTGGAAAAAAGTGTTAAACTTTTCGTCCACATACTACCAAATCTATTTCAAAAAATCAAAAACTGTTCGAAAGATATTAGTTGGGAATGATACTGATTAGTTTTAGGTGAAAATCTACCGAGCCGTTTTCTTGTAATTAACTGTTGAAAAAAAAAAATTCAAGCAGATTTTCATAGAACTTTTTTTAGCGATATATATCATGGTCTTATAGAACTTACTGAAATATTACGGCCTTACGACAAGTAGTTTAATTTTAAAAATTCATCAATGTTTGAAAAAATGAGTAGTTCTTTTGACATTTGTTAAAATTGAAATTAGTCGATTTACTTGGTATAACGATAGAGTATTTGGTATTAATGAACATGCTAAACAATTAAAGTCCTACAAAAAACTGGCACAATTATAAAAATTATTGATTTCTGAAAATTTGCTTTTAAAAAATATTCCGACCAAATTGATGTATTTGATTTTTAATAATGTGTAATAAGTCCACTTTGAATACTTTTAACTACTCATAAATTAATTTTTCTATCGTGGATTAAGTCGATTATTTACACAAATCGGGAAGTTCATGTAACTTGCCTTAAGGGAAAATACCAATACCAACTAGTATTTTTATATTTAATATCAACGATTGTTATCTATGTAATATGCTATTTTAGATTATTGAATGATGACACACAATAAGCGTCGAAACATTTAATAGAATAAAGAATTTTTCTATTTTAACCTTTTATTATTTCGACGAAAATTGGACTGCTAAACATTTCAAAGATGTAACAACCTTGACAAAACTAACAACATATATTATTACAGTCAGTCAAGTAAGAGCGTGGCCGACTTTAACGACACTTAATGAAAGATTTCGGTCTAATACTTTCGTGAGCCGATAAAGTGAAGCTTTGTCCTTGATGCATCGTTAACAAAGGTTTAGTTGTCGTTGATCTTTTGAGAAAAAATCACGTTAAACGCCACGAATGCTAAGTTACGCGTCGCGCTACGAGGATGTGCCCTTCTGCATC